TGTTGAACAGATTGAGGAATTTTTCACAGTATTTCCTTTAATATTTTTTCCTCTGGAGAAAGTCTTATTTGTTTTATTTTGGCTAGAATAAAAGCAGTTCCTAATTGCTTTAAAGCCATTTTAAGGTTAATATTATTCGCCCCCTTAAGCAGTATTAGTTTTAGATTGTCACCAGACAAAACCCCTGTTATACAATGACTTGCCTAATTACACTAACTTTACCCTAATTACCCTAGTTAAGCCTTTAAATGTCACTTTAAGCTGAATACTAGTGTCTTGAAGAATATCTAGTCTAATATTATGTGCTGTCATCATGACAAAGAGAAAATAAATCAGTTATTAGAGATGAGTTATTAAAACTATTATGATTAGAAATGTGCTGAAGAAATCTGCTCTCCGTTAAAGAGAAACAGGGGAAGTAAGTATACTGGAGGGCAAATAATTTTGTATTTTAAATTATATCAACAAAACTCTTATACCAACAAGACATTTTTGTTTATAACTTTTAAATTCTGTCATTTACTGATTCTTAATTTGTTGTAAACCAAGTTGTGCTTTTTTGGATCTGTTAAATCAGCATGATCTCACGAGAAAACATAAGTATTTTACTGTATTAACATATTATTTGCTGTGAGGTTGTATTGGTTAAATACAAAAGAAGATGTTTTGAAGACTGTTGTAAACCAGTAACCATTGACTTTCATACACTGTAAAAATGCAGGGTTCCCCTGCTAAAAAATCCAGCTTAAACCAGCCTAGGGTGGTTGGCTGGTTTTAGCTGGACAACCAAGCTGGTTTTAGAGGGGTTTTTGCCACTTCCAGGCTGGTTTCCAGCCGTTTCCAGCCATTTCCAGCCTGGTCTTAGCTGGTCAGGCTGGGAGATGACCAGCTAAAACCAGCTTGACCAGCCTAGCCAGGCTGGGAGCCCAGCTAAAACCAGCTATGTCCAGCTTAAACCAGAATAGTCAAACTGGTTTTAGATGGTTTTAGCTGGTCACTTTCCAGCCTGACCAGCTAAGACCAGGCTGGAAATGGCTGGAAACCAGCCTGGAATTGGCCAAAACCCCTTTAAAACCAGGCTGGTCAACCAGCTAAAACCAGCCAACCAGCCTAGGCTGGTTTAAGCTGGATTTTTCAGCAGGGTCCACACAATTCACTCATGTTGACTCAACACAAAACAAAATTAACTTAACACTTTTAACTAACTTATGTGGATTAAACATAAAAAATTAAGTTGTTCCGATGAAATCTCAAGAACTGTGTTGTTTCAGCTCATTTCAAACTAGTATGAATGAGCAAAAAAAAAAAAAAAAAAAAAAACTTTTTTGAGTGTAAGATCATAGTAAAAAAAAAAAAAAAAAAAAATATATATATATATATATATATATATATATATATATATATATATATATATATATATATATATATATGAGCAATATCACACTCGTAGCAGTGTGATATGACTGTATATCGGCACTGGTGGGAGGCGTGCGTTAGTGCCCCCACCAGTGCCGATATACAGCCATATCGCACTGCTACGAGTGTGATATTGCGTTTATACAACAGTTTGACGGCATAATTGTGTATATAAAGACAAAATCAAACATGGAGAGTCTCAAAAATCCTTTTGTATGAGGAACTACTTTCTCCCGGATTCAAATCATAAGCTGACAGTTAAACAGCTGAGCGTGCATCTTTTACACTTTAGATCTGTAGTGTCTGCTTTTTGCTGGCTGTATGTGGGCGGAGTAATACACAAAGGGTAAAGAGGCTGTAGGAGTTCTGATATTGCAGAATATCGCATGGCTATCAGCCAATCAGATTTGAGAACCAGACAGAACTGTTGTATATATATATATATATATATAAAGACTATTGTTACTTTTAAACATTATTCAAAATATCTTATTTTGTGTTCAACATAAAAACAAAACATTTAAAAAAATTAAAAAAATCAATAAGTTAAAGTGTGAAACCCATGCCAACACAGGGAAAAATGTGAAATATGCAAACTCCACACAGAAATGCCACCTGACCCAGCCAAGGATTGAACCAGCGAACTTCTTGCTGTGAGACGATTGTGTTACCCACTCCGAGCTGTATATATAGATAATAACAGTTAAAGTTATATATAAGCCTAGTTAACCTGCAGTTACATATAGGTGATGTCATTGTGTAATTGTTTAATGGAGTGTATTTGTGTATATTATCTGCAGCTGTATCCCTTCTAGACTTCATTCACTGAACAACACTGGGTAACACCCATACACACTCTTTCACAGACATAAACAACAGCCAATTTAGCTCATTTAATTCCCCTATAGCACATGTGTTTGGACTGTGGGGGAAACCTGAGCACCTGGAGAAAACCCACGCTAACATGAGGAGAACATGCAAACTCCACATAGATACGCCAACTGGCCCAGCCGGGACTTGAACCTGCAACCTTCTTGCTGTGAAATGATCGTGCTACCCACTGTGCCACTATGCCACTCCCCTTTTAGACTTATAGACACACATTGTGCAATTCCGAGTGTGCTCAGACTTAAAACACACACTGAATGCATCCAGCATGTAGTTTTCTAGATATATGCAGAATCCCTTATCTGCTAGGCACTTTTAAACATCAAACCTGCTTTCTCATTAAGGTTTGACCATTTTGGACACGTTTAATAGGCAGCACTACATTTCTGACAGTGATAATGTCACATGTTATTCATCGTAGATCAGAAATGTGAATCTCGGGAGGTCAGAATAGCACAAAGCATTCTGAAAAAGTCCAAACCTGTGTCTTGTCAGCTTTTCTGTGCTAACCTAGTGTGTTATTAGCGAAGGGCTGTTTTTCTTCACTGACAGCCCATTCATCATGGATGGAGTGTACAGCTACCTAGTGCCGTAATGAACTGGAGATTGCTTTTGTTGGTCGACCCAATGTTTGGACTAGACGTGGAATGTTGATGATTTTGATGAATGACTTTTTAAAGACATGTGCACGACAGTCTACAGTCAGTACGTTTGCACGGACACTAAGGCCCCGTTTACACTGCCAGTTAAATGTGACCCAATTCTGATTTTTTGCTCATATGTGACACAGATCGGATCTGTTCTATGACCGAACGCATGCATTCGGATATTCAGAGATCGGTTTAGAGGGTGTTCGAGGGTGAGGTTGAGAACAGGGTGCAGCGGGTTTTGGGCAGCCGCTTCGATCGGGTACTGCAAAGTTGGCAACTCGAGGGTGTTTAGTTTACAGACTGTACCAAAGAGGGGGGTGAGTGAAATTAAGGAAGTTTTTTAGGAAGAACTAAAAACGGGATGGTTGCGGAAGACTAGTCTGAAATATGGGATACTCCCATGAAAAACGGAGTGATGGCAGGTATTGCTTACCAGCAGGGCCGGAGTGGGACTCCTTTTCAGCCCTGGAGTTTCAAGCCTCAGACCGGCCCACCTCAGTTCACGACTGACTATATTAAAATAAGGACATTTCCAATTCAGTTTCTAATTACACTATCACGTCTTTTTTGAGAAAACAGCTGCTTTAGAAGTTCAAATGTTCAACAACCATAACAGTAATATGTCTTAACAATAAAAAAATGTAAAAAGACAAGGATCAAACCCGGATCTGCAGCATCGTAACCTAACGTGCTTACCACTGGACCACAACAACTGTGCATCAAGAAGTGGCTCGTCTGAGTAATATCATCATTCACCTACAGGCTGCATCCCGATCACCAGGCTGTGAGAAAATAGATAAAAAGAGCAGAGCTGCGGTAAAATAATGCATAAGAAGACTGTGGTCAAGTAAAAAAAAAATTATTAATTTAAAAGGTATGACTGCTGAGAGCAACAGATTCTGGAGCTAGGGACACCGGCCCTCGCGGCCAAAAAACGGACCGGCCCACCGGGAATTCTCCTGGTCCTCCCGATTAGCCAATCCGGGCCTGCTTACCAGTTTAATAATGATTTGATCTGCTGTAGTTAGAAATCAGACTGTTATAATCTTCTAAGCCCAAGGGCTTACTATGCTGTTCTGTCGGCCACTTGTGGATCGAAAACATCAACCGTCGCCGACAACTCTTTTAAAAATTGTAAATATTTTAAAATAAGCACTATTTTTACAAATAAACTGCATAGTTGCAATCTAAACAACGACATTCTCGACTAAAAAGTCCTCAAAAGTATATTTTGTTGTGTAACAGCAAACTGTAGTGTCTGCTTGTTGCTGTCTGTATGTGGGCAGAGTAATACACAAAGAGGCTGTACGGGTGCTGATCTTACTTGAATATATCATGGCTATCAGCCAATCAGATTCGAGAATCAAGTCTGGACATCCCTGATTTAGACGATACTCTAATTAGGAATCTACCATGCGAACAGGGATTTTTCATGACCTTAATCATACTAAAGTCATAATTGAACTAAACAGAAGTGAAATTAGGGCAAGGCAGTGAAGCAGTAGGTAGTGCTGTCGCCTCACAGCAAGAAGGTCGCTGGTTCGAACCTTGGCTCAGTTGGCGTTTCTGTGTGGAGTTTGCATGTTTTCCCTGTCTTCGTGTGGGTTTCCTCCGGGTGCTCCGGTTTCCCTCACAGTCCAAAGACGTGGTACAGGTGAATTGGGTAGGCTAAATTGTCCGTAGTGTATGAGAGATAGTGTATGTTTCTCAGAGATGGGTTGCGGCTGGAAGGGCATCCGCTGCATAAAAACTTGCTGGATAAGTTGGCGGTTCATTCCGCTGTGGTGACCCCTGATAAATAAGCCGACAAGAAAATGAATGAAGAAGTGAAATTAAGACATGTAGAGTCTGCTTGGCATCATTAAAGTACGGTACAGACATCTAAACACCACAATCAAGGAACACCTTTAGAAACATTCAAAAAGCAACTAATTTAAACACTTTAATCTTAATATTGTCTTATTCAGATGTGTAAACGCATTCACCATGACACTACTAAGTCCTGTGCTGTTTCTCATTGTTTGGCTTTGTGTTTTTCCCATGCAGTGGAGCGGGATAAGGATTTCTCCCACCACAGGCGACACTACAGGGAGTTTCGCTTTGACCTGACTCAGATCCCAGAAGGTGAAGCGGTGACCGCTGCTGAGTTCAGGATTTATAAGGATCAAAGTCACATCAGATATGAGAACATCACGCTGAAGGTCACCATATATCAGGTCATCAAAGAATATCCAAACAGGTGAGGGCTTTGCTCATTTTACAAGTCTAGACACACAAGAGCAGAGATGGGAAGTAACGAAGAACAAATACTTCATTACTGTTCTTAAGTAGATTTTTCTGCTATCAATACTTTACTCCACTACTTATTTTTCTGACAACGTTTTACTTTTACTGCCTACATTTTTACACAAATATCTGTACTTTCTACTACTACATTTTTAAATCAGCTCGGTACTTTCGTTTTCATGTGTTTGGTGTAGCTATCTCGCAATTTGAGCATCTTTTTGATGCAGTCTATCTTCGTCATTGCGTGCTGCAGTGCGCGGCTTTTTTTCCAGAGGTTATTATGCACCGTATGTAGGCTAGTTAATGAAGATTATATGAGAAAGGCTTGGAGGATGACTCGGCAGATAAGACAGAGGAAGACGGCGAATTTAACATGACTGGTGATGCTTCCCTGTTTCCACACTAATAAGACACATTTTGCTCGATCAGATCACAGGTAAACAAGAGAGACACGTTCCAGTTCAAAAACAGCCCATATGAATGCTTAAGTTTAAGAGTCTTTTGTCTATGGGATTTGTCTGGTCTGTCAATCTAATACTGTACATTTTTTGTTATTGATTCCACTTGAGTTAAGAAATTAAGTTTTGCAATTTTTGAATCAATTCAGCTGAACTTTTAGCTTTAAGCATTGATCACTGAATCAGACTAGACCGTAGGGCTCATGCTAAGGAGAAGTTTGAGAAAAAATGAATCGCTAAATGAATCATATGAGAGTCGTTGGGATAGTTAGATAAATAAATACACATTATAAAAGACAATGAAAGTGTTTTTTGACCTTACATGCAGATCAGCCTGCAGATGGAGACCCCCAAAACCAAAATATGACCTTTTATAATGTATAATAGGGGCTCTTTAAAAGGTAAGTAATTGCAAACAATTTATATACGCCGAATTTAAACAAATTAAATTTAGCAATGTTCAATATATTTGTTTGTTTAAATTCAGCTCATATTAATGGTTTGCAACCACAAACAGTAACTTAAAAAAAGACTAGTAAATCAAATTAATCATTCTTTTTCAGTGCATATCGCTTTTTAAAGGAACACTCCACTTATTAAACTGTAAATATGCCCATTTTACAGCTCTACTAAAGTTGAGGCGTTTAGTTTTAGCAGTTTTAGATCAATTCAGCTGAACTTTTAGCTTTAAGCATAGATCACTGAATCAGATTAGACCGTAGGGCTCGTGCTAAGGAGAAGTTTGGGAACAAATGAATCGCTGAACGAATCATATGGGAGTCATTGCGATAATTAGATAAAATAAATACACATTATAAGACAATGAAAGTGTTTTTGACCTTGCATGGAGATCAGGCTGATGATGGAGACCCCCAAAACCAAAATAGGACCTTTTTTAATGCATAATAGGGGCTCTTTAAAAGGTAAGTAATTGCAAATAATTTATAATTGCCGAATTTAAACAAACAAATTAAATTTAGCAATGTTCAATGGATTTATTTGTTTAAATTCAGCTCATTTCAATGGTTTGCAACCACAAACAGTAACTTAAAAAAGTGCTAGTAAATCAAATTAATCATTCTTTTTCAGTGTACATAGCTTTTTAAAGGAACACTCCACTTTTTAAACTGTAAATATGCCCGTTTTACAGCTCTACTAGAGTTAAGAAATTAAGTTTTGCAATTTGTGGATCACTTCAGATTAACTTTAGGTTTGGCGGAAGCACTTTTAGCTGTGATCACTGAAACGGATTAGACCGAAGGGCTCATCCTAAGGAGAAGTTTGAGAACAAATGAATCTCTAAATGAATCATATGAGAGTCGTTGGGATAATTAGATAAAATAAATACACATTATAAGACTATGAAAGTGTTTTCTGACCTTGCATGCAGATCAGCCTGATGATGGAGACCCCCAAAACCAAAATATGACCTATTTTAATGCATAATAAGGGCTCTTTAAAAGATAGGTAATTGCAAACAATTTATAAATGCTGAATTTAAACAAACAAATTAAATTTAGCAATGTTCAATTGATTTATTTGTTTAAATTCAGCCCATATCAATGGTTTGCAACCACTAACAGTAACTTAAAAAAGTGCTAGTAAATCAAATTAATGATTTTTCAGTGCATATCGCTTTTTAAAGGAACACTCCACTTTTTAAACTGTAAATATGCCCGTTTTACAGCTCTACTAGAGTTAAGGAATTAAGTTTTGCAATTTTTGGATCACTTCAGATTAACTTTAGGTTTGGCGGAAGCACTTTTAGCTGTGATCACTGAACCGGATTAGACCGAAGGGCT